AGTGAATTAGATTAAAGCATTTCTTCTTTACCATTCATAAACCATTGTGATAGCAGTCTTCACTTCTATAGAATTACCTAATTTTGCCAGATGAGATTTACTTAGAAAAGGAAATAAGCATATAGCTGTCTCTCTCCTGAAGTCTTTTTGCAACTACTAATTAAGGCAGTACAGACATTCTCAGCCGAGGTAGAACTTTAGATACTCTTTGTGTGACTGATAGTAACCCAAGTGTTACGGCACCGGAGCAGTAAATCCAATGTTGTCTGCAAGCCAAATACTTTTTCACATATGCCAACAGTTATGTAATCAGCGTATAAAGTAGCCATTTAAAAATTCCTTACTCTTGAGCAGAGTTTATTTTTTGAGAATTAAAAATAGTTATAAACATAGGTAACAGCATCTTGTTGATCACTGTTTAGTTTATGCAGTAAATACAAGTGTTCATAGGAGACAGAACTGCTAGAGGAATTTATAAATCTCTGGCCTTAGGGAACATGTTACCTTTTGTTCCCATTTCCATTGATTCTCTTGGCTTCTAGTCCCAATCAAGGTGTTGATTTCATTTTCAAAGCCAGATGGGATCTGGACATTCACAGAATAAACATAAATGTCTTCTTTTTTTTATTTTTATTTTTTGACAGGCAGAGTTAGAGAGAGGCCCCCCAAGTGGCCGCCATGGCTGGCGCACTGCGGTGAATCGAAGCCAGGAGCCAGGTGCTTATCCTGTTCTCCCATGTGGGTGCAGGGCCCAAGCACTTGGGCCATCCTCCACTGCACTCCCTGGCCACAGTAAAGAGCTGGCCTGGAAGAGGAGCAACCGGGACAGAATCCGGTGTCCCGACCGGGACTAGAACCCTGGATGCTGGCGCCGCAGGTGGAGGATTAGCCTATTGAGCCGCGGCGCCGGCCATAAATGTCTTCTAATAGATGCTTTTTAGGGACGTAAGACACTGGGAATTGTGAGTAATTGCTTACTTAAATCCGGAGCATTTCTCAAAGCCCTTTCTGATCACGTCACCTTTCTTCTCTACTAAACGTGTTGTGTGTGCGGGCAAAGTTGTGCATTGTAGAGTAGTGGCTCTAAGACTGGCTGGTACCTCACGATCTGTCTGTGACCCCGGATGCCCTTTACTGAGGGGTGAGTGTGTGTACGGCCATGTGGAGAGGAGCAGCTCTTCATCAGAGGTACTCCTCCTAAAATGGTAGACCCGATTCTGTATGTCTGCAGTTCACACAGCGCAAATGCCCTATGGCTTTCTGGTTCACGGGTGTTCTGTTTGTTATATGACATCTCAACATTCTATTAAGACTAATTAAAAAACAGTTCCAACTCATTGACAATAATGGCAAACAGAAAAAGACAGATGTTTGCCTGTTCTTGATTGAGCATAGACCTTCATTTCGACTTCAGTTAACTAATGACTAATTTTTGTGTTTAAAGATGAGCCAAGGAAACAGGGGTCATTTAATTGAGATTAAATAAGTACCTTTTGCGTGTGCTGTGTTTAAAGATATTTAAATGTGTCTATCCACTTAACAATCTTCCTACCATTTATTTCTCCATCTTTGACATTAGTGTGAGACTTAAAACTATATCTTAGTTCATTGAGTTATTGTGGTCATCAGATTTAATGGATGCTTATGGGTTTTTTTCTTGAAAAAGAAAATTAAAAATGTTATTCCTGGTATGGTGTGCTGTTCCCACTGCAGAATATTGTTTCCTGTATTTCTAATTTACATACATTTACAAGCAGGTGGCCCTACTGATAAAGGTCAGTATTAATTGAGAAATTTGACTTACTTGGGCTATTTTTTTTACTAAAGAAAAGAATTATGGAAAGAATTTTATAAATGCTATCTTCATGAGTCAGGGCTTTTCAGTTTCAATTTTGTCTTACAAGGTTAGGAGAATCATTCTTGTGATAGTGCACAAATACTGCATTTGATCTTCCTTGCTCACTTATGCCTTGCCTCTGTGACTTATGGAACATGGGATTTGTTGTACTAGATCAGTTTGAATCTATCTCTACATGCAGTGACTAGATTGAATTGGCACCAAAGTTCTATTACAAATCCTTCATCCAGCCTTCCAGTTTGAATTGGAAATATCAATTTGAGTGCCTCACAAGTCATCAAATGTTTCAATGCTTTCTAGCCAGAATAGGCAGGAGAGTAAGTTCAAGTATAGACTGTTCATCTCAAACAGTGCATTTCTATGTAAGACTTAGATCCTGATTTTTCAGGGGTTAGAGTTTTTTTAAAAAGTTGTTATTAACATAAATAGAATGGATTTCATGTATTTCATAGGTGCAGTTCTTAGAAGATAACCATACTTCCCTCTGTGCCTCTCTCCCTCCCTCACTCCGCTTCCTTCCTTTCTTCCTTCCCTCCTTCCTTTCTTTACATTTTTGCAAAACAATTTCAGTATGCTCTATAATCACAGGCTTAATGTACCACTAACCAGAATATTCAACAAGTAAGAAATACACAGAGCGCACTTTGACTAAGACGGAAAGTTTTAGCTCTTCAGGTTCTCTTGTGTTTCTATAGAGATAAAAATCAAATGAAAAGATGTTTATTTTGTTCCTATACATTTTTTGTACTCTGTTAGTTACCACAGATCAGGGAAAACATATTTGTCTTTTTGGGATGGCTTATTTCACTAAGTATAATTATGTCCAGTTGCATCCATTTTGTTGGGAAAGACAGGATTTCATTCTTTTTTACAGCTGTGAGTAGTGTTCTGTAGTGTAGATATACCATGTTTTCTTTATCCAGTCATTGGTTGATAGACATCTGAGTTGATTCCATTTTTTAGCTATTGTGAATTGAGAGGCAATAAAAATGGGGATACAGATAAGACTTTCATATGCTGATTCCATTTCCCTTGGGTAAATTCCCAGGAGTAGGATTGCTGGGTCATTTCATAAGTCTGTTTTCAGATTTCTGAGGAATCTGTGTACTATCTCCCACAGTGGTTCTACTAGTTCACATTCCAATCAAAAATGGATTAGGGTGCCTTTTTCTCTATGTCCTCACTAGCATTTATTGTTTGTTGATTTCTGTAGGAGAGCCATTTTGACTGGGGGGAGGTGAAACCTCATTGTGGTTTGATTTGCATATCCCTAATGGCTAGTGATCCTGAGCATTTTGTCATGTGTCTGTTGGCCATTTGAATATCTTCTTTTGAAAAATGCCTTTTCAAGTCCTTTGCCCATTTCTTAACTGGATTGTTTGTTTTGTTGTTGTTGAGTTTCTTGAGCTCTTTATAGATTCTGGATTTTAATCTTTTATCAATAGTGTAGTTGGCCAATATTTTCTCCCATTCTGTCAGTTGCTTCTTCACTTTGTTGAGCATTTCCTTTGCAGTGTAGAAGCTTCTCACCTTGATGTAATCCCATTTGTCTCTATTTTGCTCTTATTGCCTGTGCTTCTGGGGTCTTTTCCAAGAAGCCGTTGCCCATGCCAATGTCTTGCAGAATTTCCCCAGTGTTCTCCTCTAGTCGTTTGGTGGTATGAGATCATGGATTTATATGCTTGATCTATTTTGAGTTGATTTTTATGGAGGGTGTAAAGTAAGGTTCTTGTTTCATATTCTGCATGCATAGATCTGATTTTCCTTGCACAATATTTTGAAGACACTGTTCTTTTACCAGGGGTGGATTAGCTCCTTTGTCAAAGATTAGTTGGTTGTAGCTGTGTGGATTAGTTTTTGGGATTTCTGTTCTGTTTCATTGGTCTACATGCCTATTTTTATGCCAGTACTAGGCTGTTTTGGTTACAGTTGCCCTGTAGTATATCTTGAAATCTGGCAGTGTGATGCCTCTGGCTTTTTTGTTGTTGTTTAAGGTAGTTTTAGCTATTTAGGGTTTCTTGTATTTCCATATGAACTTTAGCGTCAGTTTTTTCCATCTCTGAGAAGGATGTCATTATTTTGATTGCGATTGTGTTGAATCTGCACATTGCTTTGGATAGTATGCACATTTTGATCATATTCTTCCAATCCACAAATATGGAAGATTCTTCCATTTTTTGTGTCTTTTATTTCTTTAATGCATAGTAATTTTCACTTTAGAGATCTTTTATATCCTTGGTAAAATTTGTTGCAAGATATTTAATATTTTTGTAGCTATAGTGAATGGGACTGATCCTACATGTTCTTTCAGATATGATATTGTCTGAGTATACAAAGGCTATTGATTTTGTTTATTTTTCTATTCTACAACTTTACCAAATGGGTTTTCTGAGCTCCAATAGTCTCTTAGTGACATCTTTTGGTTATACAATCTATAAGATCATGTCATATTAAAGTGGATAATTCCAATTCCTCCTTTCCAATTTGTTTCCCTTCTTTTTCTTAGCTAGTGGCTTTCAGAACTATATTGAATAGTGGTGAAAGGGGGCATTACACCCCTTTTCTCTACTGTTGAGGAACAGTTGTTTTTTTCTTCATACTATTTGGACTCTTTGCTTAGTGTATAGTTAATCTTTTGAGTGTATAGCAAACTGGAAATAGAACTTTGGAAAGGGAGGAAGAAGAAAGATGGGAGTGTGGGAGCGAGCGTGGCTGGGTAAGATGGGGAGTATCATTGTGTTTGTAAATATGTATGTATGAAATTTGTTTACCTTAATTTTTTTTTTAAAGAATTAAATTAAGTATTTATTGAACAAACGCAGAGTAATTGAACTAAGGGGTGTTTCAACCTGAAGATACAATAAACAGCTTCACACACTCAGATGGCTATGCCCCGAGAAGCAGGTGTGTCCAGGGATTCTCCACACAGAACCTGAACCAAGGACTGAGCACACAGCCAAGAGGTGGCAGGACAGTGGTCCTGAGTGCCTGGCTTCTCTAAGGAGCTTCAGTCCCCAGCGAGCACTCCACACTGTCCCTTCTTCTGAAGGAGGCCTGACAGCTCCGTACTCCCCAGGACGCCTCTACTGCCAGCAAGGGTTTTACTCACACTATTGGAAAAAACTCCATGTTACTGACTTGGTTTACCATGGAAATGGTTTATTTGTCCCGTGGCTATTTTTCTGTATCCGCATTAGTGATTCTCAGGGGCCGGGGAGAAGAGAGCGTATTCTGCAATGAGGATGAGTCACAGTCCCCAGCAATGCGGGGTGGCCCGTGGGGACTGTCCTCCTCAAACCTCAGCCAGTCACGGCGGCCATCAGCCAACAGTACAGATGGGAGTGCGGCCTGTGCGGGGGCAGCGCAAAGACCGCTGACAACCACTGTTCTACATGAAGCAAAAAGCTCATTTTGAGTCACCAGGAAATAGAAATTGCATAATACTGACAGGCTCCATCCAAACTGCTCAATCTTAAATGATGAGAATTATTTCAATGAACTTTCAGTATGTTTGAGTTCAAAGTATATATAATACACTTTATATTACACATGTATTTTATCACATACTCAGGAATGCTGAGGTGCTTAATCCAGCCAATAAATTGGAAAAAAAATTTTATGCTTCTCTACGCGTCAATGGACAAGATTCTGAAGGTGGATCTTGAACTCTGGGATCAATCAGTTCTCCAGGAAAGCCACATAATCGGTCAGTCTGGCTAGCTGCTGCTCGTTAGGAATCGGAGGCACTGGGGCGGGCTCTGATAAGGGAATAAATCTGTTAAAGGAAACATCTGGGGCTCCTGCAACTGGCTTCCTGGGCAACACCATCCTCGTGGTGGAGTCAGCTTGCCATCCTTGCTCCAAGATACCTTTCAGGCCTCTTCCACGGGAAGCCCCACGAAGGCGGCGAAGTCGTCCGCGATTATCGAGGTGTACGCCTGGGAGACCAGGGCGAAGGCTCGCCTCCTTGTTGCGTCTCTCAGTGCCTCCATGATGGGCTGCACCGTCTCGGACCACTGGTGAGCGCTGATGGTCGTGTAGATCCCGGGGAAGTCCCTCTGCCAGATCCTCTGTCCCACCGACCAGATCCCCCCGAGCTCAGAGTTCGCGGACTTTATGGCAGGCGGTATTCTCTTCCAGAGGTATCTCGCGTTATTCATGTCGTTATGCAGCAAATACAAAGCCAGCAGCTGGCCGTACACCGGGGGCGTCGCGATGCCTCCAGGAGCCTCGAGCTCCTGGTTCTCGCACTGATCCAGTAGCTTTTTGAAGCTGAAGGCGCTTTCTGCCATCACCGCCACTGGCATCTTCCCGCCCGGTCTCGCCGCCGCACCTTCCAGCCAGCCAAACCCCGCACAGTCCCTCGGGCCTTGTTTACCTTAATTTTAAAAATAAAAAAAAAAAAGTGGGCTTCCTTGTCGTCTTCCTGATCTTAGTGGAAATACTTCCAACTTTGCTCCATTCAATATGATGCCGGCTGTGTGCTTATCATAGATTACCTACATTATGTCGAGGAATATTCCATCTTTACCCAATTTGCTTAAGGTTTTTATCATGAAAGAATGTTGAGTTTTTTCAAATGGTTTCTCTGCATCTATTGAGATACTCATATGGTTTTTATTTTTATTTTTTTGACAGAGTGGACAGTGTGAGAGAGACAGAGAGAAAGGTCTTCCTTTGCCATTGGTTCACCCTCCAATGGCCACTGCGGCTGGCATGCTGCGGCTGGTGTACCGTGCTGATCCGAAGGCAGGAGCCAGGTGCTTCTCCTGGTCTCCCTTGGGGTGCAGGGCCCAAGCACTTGGGCCATCCTCCACCGCACTCCCGGGCCACAGCAGAGGGCTGTGGAAGAGGGCCTAGAAGAAGGGCCACTGGGACAGATTCCAGCGCCCTGACAGGGACTAGAACCTGGTGTGCTGGTGCTGCAGGTGGAGGATTAGCCCATTGAGCCGTGGCGCCGGCCCATGTGGTTTTTATTCTTTAATTTGTTAATGTAATGTATCACCTTTTTTAAAGATTTTTTTTATCACTTATTTGAAAGGCAGAGCTGGGGGTGGGAGAAGTGTCTTCAATCCTCTGATGCACTCTACAAATGACTGCAATGGCCACAGCTGAGCTGATCCAAAGCCAGGAGCCAGGAGCTTCTTCTGGGTCTCCCACGTGGGTGCAGGGGCCCAAGCACTTGGGCCATCTTATGTTTTCCGAGGCCACAGTGCTGGCCCCACATTTCTTGATTTCCATGTGTTGAACCATCCCTTTATACCAGGGATAAATTCCACTTGTTCTGGGTGAATGATCTTTCTAATGTGTTGTTGGGTTCTATTGGTATTTTGTTCAGGATTTTTGCATCTATGGTTATCAGGAATATTGGTTCTTTTCCTGTGTTGTATCTTTTTCTGGTTTTGGATTTAAGGTGATGCTGGCCTCGTAGAAGGAGTTTGGGAGCATTCTTTACTTTTCAACTTTTTTGAATAGTTTGAGAAGAATGGGAATTAGTTCTTTAAAAGTCTGGTGGAATTCAGCAGTGAAGCCATCTGGTCCTGGGCTTTTCTTTATTTTGAGTGTCTGTATCACTGATTGAGTCTGCATCTTGGTTATTGGTCTATTTAGATTTTCTGTGTCTTCATCACTCACTTTTTGTAGATTGTGTGTATCCAGACATCTATCAATTTCTTTTAGATTTTTCAGTTTGTTAGCATATAGGTGTTTGTGATAATTCCTTTTAGCCGTCACAAAGCACACCAAACACTGGAGTAAGGGAAAGGGTTTATTGGGGAAAACCCAGCAGACCGGCGGGAAAGGGCGAAGAGGGAGAAGGAGAATAAGAGAGAAAGATGAGAGGAGAGGAAAGAGGGGAGTGAGAGAGGAGAGGAAGGCTCAAGAGAGAGGAGAGAAGCCGAGAAGAGCCACGTGTTCAGGAACAGGTCCTTTGAAAGCTTTGCCGGAGGGTGGCCAGGGAAGCAGGCATAGCCAATCCTATCAGATTGAGGGTGGAGCTTGGCACAGGTTGGGTTATGTGGCTACCTGGCTTTCAGCAATGGCGGTGGGAGCCAGGGCATAGTTTGTAAATCAGGGTGTAGATAAAACTGCGCCATTTTCCTGACACTGTGGAGTACTTGGATCTTTTTTGTTTCTGTGGTATCTGCTGTAACATGTCCTTTGCATCCCTGATTTATTAATTTAGGCCCGCCCTCCCTCCCTCCCTCCCTCCCTCCCTTCCTCCCCCTCCCCCCTTCTCGTTTTATTTTTCTCAAAAAACCTGCACTTCATTTCACTGATCTTATTGTTCTTTTTGTTTCAATTTTTCTGTTTTTTTTTTTTTTTTTTTTTTTTTTTTTTTTTTTTTTTTTTTAAGATTCATTTATTTATTTGACAGAATTACAGAGAGAGCAGGAAGGACAGAGATCTTTGTTCTGTTGGTTCACTCCTCAAGTGGCTGCATTGCCCGGGGCCTGGGCCATTCTCAAGCCTGGAGCCAGGAGGTTCATCCATGTCTCCCACATAGATGCAGGGCATCAAGGACTTGGGCCATGTTCTGCTGCTTTCCCATACACATTAGCATGGAGCTGGATTGGAAGTGGAGCAACTAGGACTCCAAGTGGCACCCATATGAGATACTGGTATTCCAGGCAGTGGTGTAACCTGTTACATCACAGTGCCAGCCCCATGATTTTTTTTTTTTCAGTAAATTTTCGTTTTATTTATTTAGAAGTCAGATGTGTTCCAAAAACTTAAGAGAAGGCAAACACACCTTCCTCCATTCAAAATATCTATTATATTACTGTTGTTACTGCATAGAGAAGACTTCAGGCATTTTTCTCTTGAATTGATGTTTTTACATTAATATGCAAGGTTCAAAATTTTGGTAGTATGTTATTTTGTTTTAGTCAAGATTAAAATTAAGCTTACACTTGAGTATTTTAAACAAAGAAAAATGATGGGGGTATCCTACCTGGGCCAGCGGGAAAAGTTTTGTAATAATCTGGGAACATTTAATGTGGTAGTAAATAGCTTTGAATACAATTGTAATTTCTAAGGGTATCAGCATTATATTATAGTAAGACAGTGTTATAAATTATAAATTTATGAAAAAGAATTAGGTTTTTCAAATTTCATTTTTGGAAAGATTATAATGTATACTATGGAATAATTGCATCTTCATTTAGCATCTTCATAATCTTAAATTCTTTATTCCTCTCTGTAACTACAAGTATGAAGCCTTTTGCCCAATGTCTCCCCACTCCCCAAGAGTTAGGTATTGTGTTAAACAAGACAGAATATATTGGCAATACACCAGAATTATTCCAATTTCAACATACTTTTAAATGATAAGAGCAACTGTTTGTAAGGCTAAGACCCAGCTATCTGTATTACTTTGTTCCTTAATTATGCTACATGATTGAAATAACACTTCATAGAACATACTTGATGAATTTGTATCCTGTGCAAAAGTTATGTGGGAACTTCTCTCAACATAGGTACACTCCTTGCTGTAAATGGTTCCTGTGTGTCTGCATCTTTGTCTGCAAACCCCACCTCTCTGTCTAGTCTAAACCAATTTCTTTTTACGAGTTAATGGCTGACACCATCTTCTTATTCTGTAAGAGCCTCACGCCTAATGTCACACTTATTTTGACTTCCTGTCTTTCTCCCTAAAGTGCTGATACCCCATGGCACTCCTGTCTTGATTCCTGTTGGTCTCTCAGATTTCAGATTATAGGTGATATGCTTATGTGAGTGTCTATATGTTGGAATAAGAGGCCTATTTTTAATACTGTATTTTTATTCTTACAGAGAGATTGTTGGTACACACTTCATCTATTTTTACTTCCTCAGTGTAAAACATAGGGGAAATCATCTTGCTTTGCTCGAACAAAGAATTAACTGGAACAGGTTGTGCATTGAAAGTGAATTTTTTTAAACAGGAGTAAGGTCGACTGTAATGTATTGTTTTACACTAAGCAGACTCATAATGCTAATGTGTTTTCACTCTTTGAATTTCTCTGTTTCATGAAGAAGATCTGTATTCTGGATATTTTACTTCTCAATTCAGTTTAATTTGTTATTTTCTGAAAATATTAAGAATAGGTTTCTGTTTAATCCATCTAGTTCAGTGCAGGTATACACATTTAAGCTAACTTTGGATAATTGCTCCTACAGGCTAGATGATAAAATCCTTTTTACCTCCCATGGTTAGGTTAGTAGTGCTGGACCAGCCTCCTCTTCAGAGGTCATCCGATTTCACTATGGCTGTGAAACAGCCAAACATTATGACTTCCCTATTTGTATTTCCGTCCCTTTGCATTGTCAGCACTGAACTATTAAATAATTATCATTGATCATATCATTTTTCCAATGAAAAATATTCACAGCAAATATGTGAACAGGATCTTTGTCCTTAATGTGTTGGACATTGAAATTTAATGCAATAACGAGTACTCAAACAGTATTTTTCCCTTTATGTTTCTGTGTGGGAGCAAACTGTTGAAATCTTTACTTAATGTATGCTAAAGTGATCTTCTGTATATAAAGAGAATCGAAAATTAATCTTGATGTGAATGGAAGGGGAGAGGGAGTGGATAAGGGGAGGGTTGCGGGTTGGAGGGACGTTATGGGGGGGAAGCCATTGTAATCCATATTCTGTACTTTGGAAATTTATATTCATTAAATAAAAGTTAAAAAAAGAAAAAAGAAGAGAACATAGCTTACGTTGTATTTAGTTCTAATATTGAATATTGCAAAGGGTAGGTGATCAATTAATGCTCTAAAAACAATTTATATTTTTATAAATATCTACATAGATATTAAATGCATTTATTTGAAAAACTCTAGGAAGAAAATATAATGGATATATAAATATAATGGATATTTCTACACTTTCTGTCATCAAACAATAAAATAAAGAACCTATATAAAAAAAAAGAATTCTTAGAGATAGGAACATTTATTAACCAACAGGGCAGTGCTTACTCCTCAGATTTCATTGTAATCCAGAAGCATGCTCCCACAAGGATGCTACCTCTGCATGAACGAGTGGTTACTCTTTGATTTTTTAAATTGATTTACCCTCAGGGTAGGCATTCCTGTTGCAAAAAGGACGAAATGGAACATATGGGAGAGGACGGAGGCCTGTAGATTTGTGTGGATAAATACAGTATTTGTGGAAGGTCTGCTGCCTAGTCTTTTCTGCATTTTATTTTTTGTTTTTGATAGATGCTGTTTATCACTTGTTGTAGCTGTCTGCAGCCATCACTGCACCTTTATCCTGGAAGTCTGTCGCTTTCCAGTCGTTGCTGTTCCGGAGTGAGTTACTGAAGCAGCAGGAGTGAGGCCATTTTGCAAATTGCAATATACTGCCACATA